GCCCTATGTAAAACCCTTTTTTTCATGTAATTTAGATTATGGATGATATATTTTGAAACACAAAATATTTATTACTTGAAATATTTAGTTGAAATGCCACAATTATGAAATAATTACTTGAAATAATTATTGATCATGGATGATATATTTTGTAACATGAAATAATTATTGGAAATGCCACCACATCACCGATGGACTTAACTCCGTCGGCATTCCACAGAGAGTTAAAAAATAATTACTTGAAATGCCACCACATCACCGACGGTCACATCGACGAACGTAACTCCGTCAACATTCCACAAAGAGTTCAAAAATAATTACTTGAAATGCCACCACATCACCGATGGATATAACTCCGTCGGCATTCCACAAAGAGTTCAAAAATAATTACTTGAAATGCCATCACATCACCGACGACCACACCGACGAAGTTAAGGCCGTTGGCATTCCATAGAGAGTTTGAAAATAATTGCTTGAAATGTCACCACATCACCGACGGACGTAACTCCGTCGGCATTCCACAGAGAGTTCGAAAATAATTACTTGAAATGTCATCACATCACCGACGGCCACACCGACGGAGTTAAGGCCGTCAGCATTCCACAGAGAGTTCGAAAATAATTACTTGAAATGCCATCACATCATCAACGGCCACACCGACAAAGTTAAGGCCATCGGCATTCCATAGAGAGTCCAAAAATAATTACTTGAAATGCCAACACATCACCGACAACCATACCGACAAAGTTAAGGTTGTCAGCATTCCACAAAGAGTTAAAAAATAATTACTTGAAATGACACCACATCACCGACGGCCACACCGACGGAGTTAAGGCCGTCGGCATTTCACAAAGAGTTTGAAAATCATTACTTGAAATGCAACCACATCACCAACGGCTAGACCGATGGAGTGGAGTTCGTTGGAATGTTGGCGGCGGATCAATTTTACCGACAAACTTACCGACGGACCATGCGCATTTCAAAGCGTTGTCATTAAATGCATCTCTAACCGTGTCATATTATCGAGGGATTTACCGACAGACCACGAAAAGTATGGAGGGACATTAAAAATTTTGGTGCGAAATTCAAAATTTACCGCCGGATTTTTACACCTCACCGATGGAATAAATTAAAAATAATAATTAATTTTCTATCTGTCGGTTAATCCATTGGTAAAACTAGCATATGACCGTCGGTGAATCTGTCGGTAATCCATCGGTAAAACTGCCATATAAGTGCCCCCGACCGCCTTTTCGGTTCATTGTCTCTTCTCCTCAGTTTTTCACCATTCTTTTCCTCTCTATGCTGCTCTCTGTTCTTCACCAGCGATCTCAAGCATTTTTTGTTTTGAATCTCCATCAATTTAAAAGGTTAATGTTTCTTCTTTTTCATTTTACTTTAATGGTTTTTTTTTGTTATGTTTTTGTTATGTTTTTTGTTTTGGTGTATTTTTTGTAATGTAGATAAAGACTATAGTTTTTTTTTTTTTTACATAATTCATTGCTAAAGTCTATAGTTTTTTTTTTAATTTATTGAATATTTTTTATTGTTGTTTTGGCATAATTATTATTAGTTAATTTGTTGAATATTTATTGTTAATGTTGAATTTATCTTAGGATTAGTAATTGAATATGTTGGAATAATTATTAATTTTACTTTATTATTGCATGATTTGGGTT